CTATTGCCTTTTTCCTCAGAAGAGTCTCAGTTTCTGAGCTATCTTGTTGCAAATGATGCAACAAGTAGCAGCTCTGAAGAACCAGGATCACTGTGTCATTGTGGTTCTTACACCTGTGGTGTAGCATTGTCAATTTTATTGTAAATAAAATTGTAAATATTGTCACATTGTAACGAATAACATCACATTATTTGTTGTAGTCATTATAAAAAACTCTTAATAACAAAATTTATACATAGATTAGGTTTTCGACTTCAAGGCACAAACCATCATTAAAATCCACATTCAACATACAATCTTCACTCAGAACAACAAAAAAACCAAAAAAAAAACAAACAAAAAAAACCCAGAAAAAAACCCAACTAAACTGAATAGAAGTTTAGAAGAAGGAAAAAAAGTTCCTACTAAAACAAATCCAAAACTAGCATTATCACAACACAGAACAAAAGGACAAATTACAAAAAAATCTACCCCTGGACTCTTCACTACAATTATGATACAAATGCTCCACTATCAATCTACTTCATAATGTGGTTTAATACTTGTTTTGTCCATTATTTCTCCCAATTAGTATGTGTTCCAGCAGTCATACAAAGCCAGCAGTATTGTGTTCAGAACAGTAAGGCAACATTAGCATAATCAAAACTAAACACATCAGACCACTGATTATATAACCAAAGACTTTCTACATGCAAGTTCATCAATATATCATAAAAGAAGTTGATTTAACTTGTAAAAAGATCTCATTTTCTTTTAACCTCAACAAGTTAATGTTCTTCTAATAAGTGCTAGACACCTTTTCTGAAAACTGTAAACATAACAATGTTATTCCTGATAACATTGTAAACCTTTTATCTATCCCTTAGTTTAAAAACTCCAGAATTTCTATGTATCTGTATTTCATTGCTATATCAAAGAGTTATAATTATTCCACCCAATACCATGCAAAGAACAGTATTTTCTGGGTAATGCTGAAGCTATTATAATATAGCTCCAAGCACTACAATCTGCCCATGATTAATCTAATTCAGAGTATAATAATTTCAGTGGTATATTACAGAAGTTCAGAAACACTGTTCAACTTATACTTTGAAATAAAATTGTTTAACCTAACATCACTTCTTTGCAATTTTATTACTTGTATAACACTAATTTACCACCAACAAACAGGTACTCTTGCTTATGGGCTTATCTAAAAGTTCATATTTAATTTTAAATATGTGGCCTGTTCTTAATTATTGTTTTCACACTATACCTTCAGAGTAGTTACATATTTGAGAAGACAGATAAATATATATATATAATATGTGGTAATTTAACTTTGGCTGGCTGTCAGATGCTCACCAAGTCACTCCATCACTACCCCTCAGCAGCACAGAATGAGAAAACTGGATGAAAAAGCCTGTGGGTCAAGATAAGGACAGGGAGATTGCTTACTAATTACTGTCATGGGCAAAACAAACTCAATCTAGGGAAAATTAGTTTTATTTACTGACGACTACAAATCGAGTAGGAAAGTGACAAATAAGAACAAAACTAAGCCCAGCATCATCCCAACCCCTTTCTTCATGGGCTCAAATTCATTTTTTTGTTCCTGACTTTTCTGCCTTCTCCTCTCTCCCAAAGTGGCAAAGGGGAACATGAAATGGGAGCTGCAGTCAGTTTGCAACTCTTCATCTGTGCTTCTCCTTCCTTCTCATGCTCTTTCCATGCTCCAGAGTTAGAGCCCTCCCACAGGAAACAGTTCTTTGCACCCTGCTCCAACATGGGTCTCTCCCACAGGCTGCAGTTCTTCAAAATCTGTTTCAGTATGCTCCTCCCAGGTGGTCACAGGTCCTGCCAGAAATCTGCTCTCCCTTGGGCTGTCCACGGGGTCACAGCTTCCTTCAGGCACACCCACTTCTTCAGGCACATACCCTGCACAGACCAAAGGTGGATCTCTCCACCATGGGCCTCTATGAGCTGTAGGGGACTACCTGCATCAATGGCCCTCACCAGAGGCTCCAGGGGAATCCCTGCTCCAGCACCTTCTTCCACTCCTGCTCTGCCCATAGTGTCTTTGGGGTTATTTCTCTTGGGTATTCTCATTAATCTCCTTCAGCTGCGTTTGTACAGCTTTTTTTGCCCTTATTCATGTTATCGCCGAGGTGCCACCAGCTTGCCTGATTTGCTCAGCTGCCTTCTCTAGTGGATCTGTCTTGGAGCCAGCTAAAACTGCCTCTGATATGGGGGCAACTTCTGAGCTCTTCCTAGAGAAGTCTCCCCTACAGCCATCCCTGATACTGAAACTTTACTTTGTACTTAAAATCAAAACCCATGTACTGATCAAATCTAACTAATGCACACATACGGAAGTATTTTATTGAACCAGCAGAAGTTAAACCTATGAGTTCTGATTCATCCCCAAGTATTAAAACTGTGTGTATTCTTATATAGTGTTTCTGTTCAGGTATTAGGACAGTTTTCATATGGTCATATACTATTTTGCAGTATTTACAGTTTCAGGAAAAAAAAAAATCAGTGTAGAGTAACACTTAAGCACATTTTATTTGAACTATAGCAGGTATGATCTGTGACTAAAGAAAGGGCCAATTTTATTTTCATTAGAACTGGAATTTTTATATATGGAATAACTTTTTTTTTCAAGTGTTTGACAGAAAGGAAAACAACTGCACCTACCCAGTATAAGCAAAATAGGCAGCAACTGGAGAGAGTGCAGTGAAGGGGCACTAAGAAGATTAAGGGATTGGAACTTCTTTCATATAAGGTTGAGACAGCTGGGCTTGCTTACCCTACAGAGGAAGAGGATCACTGAATCTCAACATCCATAAACTGCTGATGGGAAAAGAAGATGAAACCCCATCCATTGGTGCCCAGTGACAGGACTGGAGGCAATGGGCACAGACTAAAACGCAGGAGGTTCTTTCTGAACACCAGGAAACAGTTTTTCCCTGTGGGGGTGAGTGAGCACTAGGTCTGGTTGCCCAGAGAGGTTATGGAGTCACCATCTTCTGAGATGTTCAAGTTTGGGCAGCTGGCTCTGCTTGAGCATTGGAGATCAACTACACAATTTCCAGAGGTTAGTTCCAACCTCAATCATTCTGTAACTCTGTCAACCACACTGACAACCAAAGCATTTGTTCAATTAATTTTCTGCAGTTTTTTAAATGCAGAAACTGGAAATTTGTAAGGAAAATAATAGAAGAATAATGTTTTTGAATATTCCCATAAAAATATTTCTGGTAAAAATAAAGTTCTGAGATTTTGAAGCTAACACTGTGTCACTATCTTGTGAATTGGTAGGGAGGGAGGAGGAAGGCAGCATTGACATGAATACCACCAGTAGAGTATAAATCTTTAACAATCTCCAAGTCATTAATATCTTAAACCTGCAATCACCTGTGACTTGCCAGTAAATACATACCAGTTTGTGAGCTCAGTGGTAGAATGTCTAAAATCTTATTTGGCTTTTTTTGTTATGTAGGCATGCCCTTGGTGCATTTAAGAAAGAAAGCCATTTTATGCAAAATATGGCCTTATGGTTCTTAAACTCATTCAAGTGCTCACTGGAGATTTTCAGGCCATTTAGACAACTCATTCAAAGTGTAGCAGCTCTGTTTCATTTCCTCAAATACCATGATACTAAATTCTTTCAGCTGGCACATTTGACAAAACTTTCAGCAATTCTAAATATATATACAGATTTCATCTTGCTCACAAATAGTTTTTAATTAAAGAAATAAAAATATGAAAATTATTTGGAATGAGAAATGAATCACTTTTGAACTTTTTGCCCCTCTGTGGAATAGAGACTGAATACTTTTTAAGGACTTTTGACACTTTTTTTATGACCTATAAATTGGATAAATTTGATTAGCAGTCCTTGGAACAAGGATCAAACAAACAACCAACCTTCCCCCCAAACACATATAGAATTTTCATTATCAAATTCTAACCATTAGTATAAATATCCCTTTTTCTTCTACCAAGGTGGAACATAAGGGTGGCTTCCACACAGGACTTTGTAAAATTAGATTGAGAAATACACCATTGTAGCTAAATGGTCTTTGATATTTTAAAAATAATCAGATTTTCACTGAGTCCTCTGATGAATTCAGGTGCAAAGGAGTGGGCCTTATAGGCCTGTCTGATCAGTTAATGGAGTGTGATGCAGATGGCAATATAAAACAGAATCTAGAGGTAGAATATATCCCTGTACCAGCGAACACAGATGCTGATAGTCCTTTATAAAACTTTCCTGAGCTGCACAGTTAATTTATGTTTTATTACCTCTAAACAAGTCCATTATACTCAGTTCACACAAAATAATATACCTGGAAATAGAATATAGCCATTGCTGCCAGGTGTCTAGTTCTTGAAATTAAAGACAACTGGTGTCATAACTTAGCTTTATTGCTCTACTTTGACTCATCTGACATTATCAGAACTCTCAGTATTTTTTCTTTAAAGTGTAGGTGTAATGTACAAGGGATTTTAACATAGTGGTTCAGACAATGGAATAAACATTTTCAGAACAGTTCCTTATGAAGGGAAAGCGAATTCAAGAACTTCAGTGATTTCTCACACAGTTGAAGGCCAAACATAAACAGTCTTAGACATAAAGCTTTTCTGCTTATAACACAATACTAGTGGGCTCATGAAATTGCCTCATACCATTGGATAGTTGTTTCTGGGAATTAAGTTAGAGCATCAGATAAAAACATGATAGCATCTACTTGGCATACAAAAAGTAAAACTATCTTAGGGGAAAACAATCTTTAATATCTGTCCATACTCATCTGGTATCAGACATTTCTTAAAAATATCTGAAATGCACATAGTATAAAACTGGACTGTAGAGATAAATCATATTAGTGAAAAATGTTATTATGGTCTGTGTGTGCTTTTGTTTGGTTGGTTTAGGGTTGGGCGGTGGAGGCAGGGGAAGGGTTGGTTTGTTCTGTTTTTTTTTTAAAGAAAAGCCAGAATATGAAACTCACCTTATTAGTATTGATAGCTGTGATGACCCACACACATTGAGCATTGCTGTCATACTGAAATGGAAAATTGGGTGATGTGAAAGTGCCTCCAGGCCCCTGAAGATTGGATCCACAAGTTTTGACTGCAAAAAGAAACAGAAAATGCATGTAGCAGATTCATAAACCAATCTCTTACTCTAATCAAGATCTGAAGAATTAAAATGCCATTGAACAAAATTGAACATTCGTACAAGAGAACAGAACATTTAATGTTTAATTATTCTGACAAAATAAAATAGACTTTAATCTTAAAAATGTTGAAAGTTTTTGGAGGAAAAACAATAACAGAAATTGCCCTATTTATTTTTAAAATTCTTCAAGAACTTATGCCACCTTCCCTAATGTCTTGCTAAAACTAAAATAAAATAAAAAACTAAAATAAAATGAAAAACTAAACTAAAATAAAAAACTAAAATAAAACTAAAATAGTAGGAAACAAGATTACTTTTACCACTGTGCATATGTGCTTTTTTTGTGCATATGTGTTGCTATATGGCATGTCAGCATTTTTTTTTCTTGTATAACCCTATACAACCTGTTGAATCAATGGCCAAAGCACTGAAAAGTTTAAAGGAAGCTTGTAAAAATTAGACTAACACAAAACAGCATTTTCTATTTCTGAAGATTACAAAAGGAATTTATTTTCAAATGAAAGTCTGTGTGGCTATTTACAGTAGCATGTCAGGTGAAAAAAAAAAAAATCTTATTTACATAGCTTGAATCCCTTTCACAAATATTACAAAGGATATAAACTGTGTCCTTTGTGCTTTCAAATGACAGTTTTAAGGCACTAAATTCCTAGTCTGTTGAAGTCAATAACACTTTTATTGTTCTTTTCTAGATATTCAGATCTTTGCTGAATGCTCTACCAGTTAACTTTTCCTGTATGAAGACGTAAAGCTGACAAGCAACCTCAGGTAAACATGAGCCTATCCTATTTCTCCAGTGATTATTATGACACCACACAAACTGCAAAAGGTAAAGAGCTATTTCTTCCACTGTATTCTGACAGACCATCTTGCATAATTGAATAAAAAAATTGACATTTAGATATGTGAAATAAACATAGAGTTGCATTGCACTTTCATAAAGCATGTTTATTTATCAGTACTGAACACAGGAAGATTCAGCTGCTGCTGGATGAAGGCTTGTTCCTTCCCTCACATTAGCCTCTAGAAACAATGTCACTTTTGCACTCCCCTCAGAGAAACAATATTCTGGTGATGAGTGTGTTTAAAGTCACACCAGATGCCTGGAAAGAAGTTGGGGGTAGAGAGGTGAGAGGAAGGCTCCTCATTTACTATCACTAGCTGAAGACATTAGGGTCACAAGTGAGACTAATGCCAAACATGGCTTTTTGTCTGTATATTTAATAAGAAATTGTATGACTCCTTGCAGCTTTTATCTGTATTTGGGAAGTATGTCAGGAGGGGAAATACAGTGTTCTAGACAATTTGCTGCTCCATCTGAACATCCTTTGCTGCAGAGTTGGGATGTAAAGCACAGCTTCTTTGCCTATGTGCTGCAGAATAGTTATGAGCTTTGTTTGCTGCCTTTTCTTGGTGTAGTCACATAGTGAAGGTCTCAAAGGAGCCATGTCGTTCTATAGTGGAATGAAATCTAAGACTCTGACCCCTCAATGTCTACTTTTATACTGACTTGAAATGTTCCTAAGGGACACTTTCTTTCAGTACTTTAAGTTTGAAATCCAGAAAAAAACCTGTTGTAATAAGGACAATTTCTGTGTATTTGTGCACACTAGTATTTTCATTACATATATTAGTACCCAATATGTACCTACACACTATTACTTTCATTCCTTGATTCAGGGATTCATCATACTACTTGACATTGTATAATATATTTTCAGCAAAATTAATTTGTGCTTTTCTTCTTTTACTGATTATTTTTTCCCTTTATCCATTTGTTCAGGGTCAAAACCAGGTGTAGACTTACTTCTCTACTACTTATCTATTAAAAATTCAAGAAATTCTTATCTGTTTATAAAATGTGTAATGAAGACGCTTGGTGAACTACTGATTTTATGCTAAATCACTGCAATTTTTATATCCATCTTGCTAAGTCCTAACATTTAGCATGATAGGTTTGTGTCAGCTCCTTATAAAGCAAAATTTATAATGTAAGTTTCCTAGTTAAATAAGCATACCGAAATACAAAATTCATGTTAAGCAAAGCATAAGTGAATCCTTTTTTACTAAGAAAGGGACACTAGGATTAAAATTTCCAGTACTTTCAAAAAAATTCATAGGATCAGCTATCAAGCAATGGACAGATGACAAATGGAATAATCACTGTGAGTGTAAGAAAATCTGTTTACCTTTGCATACAGGTCTATGATCACTCCATGCAGCAAAAACTTCAGCTATCCTCTGACAGGTGATACTTTTGGAACCTTGTAACACATAATCTTCATCACAGGAGAACTGTACTGTTGCTCCCAAGCTACAATCAAACAATGACATAAAAAGAAGCATTTTTAAACAAATAGACAGCAGTCATTTTTTTCCATTCCTTTAGATATGATGGTCTTGACAAACAATACAAATATGCAATCCAGAAGTTCCTGCTCTCAACAGCAAAAGGCTTAAGGCTACGTACTAGCCTGATAGTGCACAATGTTCAGCCCTCTCTGGGCCTACTTGTCTGGGGCTGGTTTATCTCTTTTAACAGACATTTGGAGGTCAAGTGACTATTTTCTGACCTAACTTCAGACCTCCATATAGTAAAAATTTGACAAACCCAGACATTGTGTAACTGAAAGTATTTATTTATGTTAATTGAAGCTAGGAAACAATGTGAAAGAGACATAAGGGAATCACCTGGAAGAAAAGTCAAAATGTCAACTAACAAGACTGAAAAACAAATCACCGTTTCTTTTTCTCACCATTCAATAAAATAAACATTTTATTTCTCCTAGTGTAGACCTCAGGATATAAATAATATGTTGGGAATATCTCCCAACCCTGATTCATTAATAATACATTCATATTCATCTATGATGAAAAAGCTACTGAAGAAGATTGATACTTATCAAAACAAGAATTAACTAAAGGGAGTTAGAAATGTTAGATATTTGAAAAGGAAGGGTGTCAGCACAAAATAGCTGATGAAATCTGGGATGTACCTGGGCCTTACAGAGACATAGATGCTAAGAAAATGGGGACATGAAAGATGATACAGTCACCTGAACAGACATCTCAGAAAAGGAGGATTTGATAGTGAGTAACAGCTCCATAAACTTTTCCAAAACAGCTCCTGTTTGTGTAAGAATATTTGTGAAAGAATGGGAAAAAGAATAACTGCAGAATTCATGAAAAAAAAAGGAGATAAAACAGTGACAAACTGAAGAAAAAAAAAGCAAACATAATGTAAAGGCCTTTGCAATGTATGGATGAAAGGCAACTGAGGAAAAAGAGCCACAAGGCAGATCATAGAATCGGAGGATATTTCAAAATTATGAAAAGCAATGATTACCTATAGCTAATGCAAAAAATTATCCACAGCTGCTACAGGGACTATATGGCAATTGGGAAGACAAGAATATCTTTCTCAAGATTAGATTTTCATAATTATCTGCTTCAGAAAGTCATACTGAAAAAATCTGAGTGTCTTTATTATTATGAAAAAAAAAAAGGAACACTTGAAGAAAATAACAAGGAAATATATTTCCTTTAACTAGCCATGGACTGATTTAAAGAGAAAATGCTGAGCAGGAAGCACACCATTTTCAAATAAAATTAAACTGGTAAAAATCCATAACAGACAAAAATCACAGAGGTCTGAATGATTATGAAGACTGTACAAGTATGATAATTATTCCTATCACCTACTAAAGTATAAATAACGCTCGCATTATGAAGTCCAAATTTACTTCTCCAAATAAGTTTTGATACTAAACTGATATTTAATAGTATATGACTATAAGTATATGACTGGACTCATAAACAGAGTGAGACTGGATAATTTACATGATTTGTGACATATATGCTGTGTGAGTGAGGCCTACTAAGGGCAATTAGATATGCAGATGATAAAGTACCAGTGTAAGAAAGAAAATGGAAGAGTAGGAGATCAGTTCCAGTGGAAGATCAACTAAAAAAAGGCAATAATAGAGAGCTTGTCAAGAAAATTTTAAGAAAATGTGTCTTTCAGGAACTTAAAAGCATAGTCAAGATTACCATTTTTTAATATTTTGCTGTCATTATCTATTTATATACTCTTAAAAATGGAAATTCTTTCAATTCTTTCCAAATTTTTGAGTATCAGAGAATCACAGAATCATAGAATATTCTGCATTGGAAGGTACCCACAAAGATCATGTAGTCCAACCCTTAAGTGAATGGCCCATACAGTGAACGAAGGAGAGATTCTTCTTGTTTCTGATGACAATATTTTTTTTTTCCAATACCTTGTGTGACCTAGAAGAATTCAGTTAGAAATTCATCTTTTTCTAAAACAAGTTTGATAACTTGATTACAAAATGGTAGTGTCACTTCCATCCATCAGATGGTGCATGAAGTACAGGAGGTGAATATGATGAAGATTCAAAAAAGGACATGCAAATTACCAGGAAAAAATTATCAGCTCCAAGACAAAACAAAAAAAAAGAAAGGCCAAGAGTTTGATGAGGGTTTGTGTGGTGTGGTGACATAGTAACGATTTCAGTAGGGTTTTAAGTTTTTATTTTTTATTTTCTTTTTCTTTGACAGAATCTCAAATGATGGAAGGATTGTGTTATAGGACAAAGAGATCCTTGATAGGATAAAATTGATATCTATTACATATCCAAAGGTACTGAAAGGAGGACTTGTGAAAGATCTGATCTCAGCCTTCTTGTATGTTAGAGAACTGAAAATTGTGGAGTAACAAAATCAGATCGTGGAAGCTGGTTTTAGGGGAATCTCTGAATTCTGTGCAAGTATTAGATCAGAGAAAACTGTCAGAGTAGTTCGAAAACAGATTGTGGGAACAAATAACCAAAAATAGTGTGAAAAAATAAGGACGGTTTGATTTCCTGACTTATATTTGATCTAAACTGCTTATCAGATGAAACTCCCTAAAAGTGTGAATAGACTATTTCTGCTTTGTAAATCTCAAGAGAACTGAAGCATGATAAAGCTATGAAATTGTTCATTGTTATATACAATATAGATAGACATCAGTAAGAAAAGGAAAATCTCAAGGATAGTATGAAAATCTCAGAAAGTTTTAGAAGCAGAATATATTCATTAAAAAAAATTGTGGATGCAGTCAATGACCATTTTCTTCAGTATGCTAACATTGAAAGTGATGAAAAGTTAATGCTCGGAGAAAATCTTTATAATACAGGCACCATTTATAGTGCATCTTTTGATCATTTATGATTAATGAGCTTTCTGAACTGGATCTACTAATTTAGTATTCCCTGTATAACTAAATTAGACTTTTTGAATGAGACCCTAGCTAAAGCTAAGACTGGTAAGGCACATTGGTAAGCAGAAAAGCTTCTTAGGGTATTTTAGTCACAAAAGCAGGTTCATATACAATGTGGGTTCATTTGTAAATGGATGAAGCAATCTTGTGTTGCTGAAATCCTATATGGAAAGCATACTGGCAGAAGCACTAAATGCCTTTTCTGCATCAATTTCTACAGTAGATATGCTCCTAGGTATCTGTATGTACCAACATGATCTGTGAAGAAGAAGAGAGAGAGCCAATACTTGGAAAAAACAGGTAAAAGGAGGCAGCTATATTCAAGGACAGGCGACCAGAGAGCTTTCACCAAAGGCTGCTGAAAAATCTGACTGAGTCTGTGCAAGGTGGGTATCTTCTATGAAAAGCTATGATGAGATGTTCTGACTGGTTGTAGAAAGGCTAACATTACATGAACTTTTAAAAAGGGCAATGAGATGCTACGGATCAAACACTGATCTCTGGAAACATGTGGTCTAGTAAAGCATGAACTGGAAACCAAGAGCACATACAGAAATTTACCAAAGCTGAATGATATTTGATCAACTTGATTGCCTTCTATGACAAAATGACCGGCTGCACGGCCCAGTCATAGATGTAGCAGTTCTCAGTGTAACAGTGCTCAACATCAGCAATGTTTCTGAGAGCGCCTTTTACAGCAGTGTGTTTGGAGAGCTGACAAAATATGCACTGAATAGACATATATTTAAAATTGGCCTGGAAGTTGTGCTTAAAGAGTAGGAATCAATTGCTTCATATTCAGCTGGTGGACAGTAATAATCTGAGCATCAGAAAATTAACACAGGTTCTGATGCTGCGTAATATTTTCATCCTCAACCTTGATGGGGAGACAGAATTTATGGATCCATATATTTATGGACAAAACTAAAGCAGGAAAAGTAGCTGACACACTGAAGAGCAGACCTTCAATCCAGAAGCCTGACTAAGTCCATCACTGGGCAAATAGAAACCTCACAAATCTCAGCAAGTGGGGGTACAATGTTCTGCACTATTGATAGTAACGTTCTCATCCTGAATAAAACAAACTATATACTTAACAATAGTAGAAATGGTGGCAGCAGATCAAGTGAAATTGTTACTCAGCTGGTGAAGATGTATCTGCAATATTAGACCCAATGTTTTGCCTCCCGCTTGAAGAGAGAGATAGGTAAAAAACTCAAGAGTTTGGAGATTAGTCAGAGGGTGAAAGCACATGACCCACCTAAAAAGTTAAGGCAGCTAGGCTTAATTAGTCAGACAAAGAGAAAGCTTAAGTACTATCTAATAGCAGATCACAACAATTTCAGGAGCCATTACAAAGATAATGAAGCCAAACTTTTCTAAATGTGCCAGATAACATACAAGGGACAGTTTGGAAGATTCAGATTTTACGTTAAAATAAATTTCCTTCAACAAAGGAGGGCAGAACTGGAACAGCATACTCAGACTCTTGTGAAATCTTTAATCTTGGGAGTTTTCAAGACTGGCTAAACAAAGCCACAGCTTATCTGACAAAACTCCAAAGATGAATGCTTGACATGAGTGTCTCTCAGTAACTTTATCTGCAAATTTTTTTCTAATCAGACAAAAGATGATTGCCATTAGGTTTGCACTTCCATAAAAAACCCAAACTTTGGATATATTTTTATTAGGAAAAAATGTATGAATAAATATATAATAAGGAAGTTAGTATACAAATGTGAAAAAAAAATAATTTCATATCTGTTTACAAAGTTTTCATAATTTGCCCCAGATTTGGGATTCCTTTTTAAGTAAGAGAAACTAAAAGCAGTAAGGAGTCCAAAATTAACTATACAACATCTAAAGTATGAGAAAGAGCAAGTTTAAAATTTTGAATTTCATATAAAGTTTGTAGGGAATAGTATTATTTTAATAGTTAGCATTTGTGTAGAAAACTACCTAATTTTAGATTATTTTCCTCCATTATTTGATATGTTTTTTAAATTGTTGTTGAAAAGTAATCAATTATGCAAGGAATCAAAACCATTTTTCTGATGTATTAGCTATTCTGTTCATGTGTGCAACCGAACAAATTTGAGAGAGGATCCCATTTTTAACCATAGAAGAAAATGCACAGCCAGAAATAACTAATCAGTTCTTAAAGTCCATCTCTATCAATTTGTAAATTTAGAAATATCATATATTTTAATGCTAGTATAAAGAAACAATCAGTATTTCAGTTCATATATTCTTTCTTTCACCTGCAACAAAAGAAACTAAAGACTTATAAGCTTTCAAGATTATGAACAATGAATATTTTTTTGCAACCTATCAACTTTCTACACACTACTGATCCATGTGCAAGCTACAGAGAGGTTCTACTGCTGTTTTTGTTGTCACAGTATGAGAACTAAGGTAAGTCACCTTAGCATCTGTCTCAAGAACATCCATAGGAACATTTTCACAGATCAGTTTATACATTACTTGAAAATATTACTGAAAAATTTTAGGATTCCAGGACATATGTTAGAATATCTTCCATACTTCTGATCAAGAAAAATCCTTACTGTGTGCTGAAAAAAGTAAACCGATGACTAAATTTCAGTTTCTGAGGATTTCCCAACACTATGGCGGTCACTGGTAACTCATCTTTAAAAAAAAAAGCACCATTTCTAACAAATCTTGTATTGTCTGGCATTTGTCCTTGACAAAGGAGCCACTTAACTGTTAAAAAGTGATAGGTGCACAGATCCCACATAAACTAGCCTCGTATCTCATGCTGATTTTTTTAATTTTTCAGGATGTTTGGCTTCAAGTTTCTGAGTCTAGAAGCTCATCTTGCATGTCTGCAGAGAAGGATAGGTGATTCAGAGAAGATTTAAGGAAAATCAAGTGTGAAACTACTAGTCAATCTAGTCAATTAATACTAAACTTCATTCTTCCAAAGAAAGTAACTATAAATTAATTTATAATATAAAATTAAAGAAGATATTATCATTAGTTATACTGTAAGTCAACCTGTTGTTAAAATAAACTGTCCTTATCATAAACTTCATATTTTTCCTTCTGCCAGTAGTACATGTATTTTAAAGACTACATCACCATTTTTGTCCAACAGTATTCACTGCTTTGTTGCAATATAGGTTTGATCAGAATCTCATATTTAAATCTTAGTGGGACCCCACTTCAGAGGTAGAGGGATAGAGATGGGCTCATTCATTCATATCATGAAGACAAGACTTTGAGATAGTGGAGGAAAAATATGATTGCCTCATAATAAAACACTTGTTCAAGGATAATTCAGTCTGAATATGTTTATTCCACTAGAAATAAAGAAAAATAGAAACAAGACTATGTAAAAACTTTTACAACTGTCTTTATCTATTGCCTCTTATATTTTTACATAGAGGCATTGATTCTAAAACTGGACACATGGAAAATATGTTTATTTTAGCGGATGAGAAGTAAAGTAAAATTGCAAATTCCAGCCAAATAGTCACTAGTGTGTCTAAAATGTTAAGAAACTCCTAGGGAAGTGAAGCTTTCTTTCTGAAGCAGAATGTTCTCCTCAGTACAGGAAAAGCTGGCAGCTATAAGTCTTCTTTATTTCAACACGCAAAACCTTTTATGCACAAATAGGCATCTAGAATCAGAAACAACACATTTAATACTCAAAAATACTTCTCTGGGAAATTTTCACATTAGAAAAAATATCCAAAAGGGTCAACATGGAATTACAGCCCCCAAATAATGTCATGGAATGCTCCAGTTTGTCTTAGAGCTTGAATTACAGATTTTATAAATCTGTGTAAGAACCATGTAAGAGGAAATTAATTGTGCTAAGAGAAGGCAGTGTTCATAATCAGAACAGAAGTAAAACTGTAATACAATGCTTCCAAACCTACACCTTCACATTTGAAGAAAGCTAAGGAGATGTGACAAGAGCATGCTCTTCTCTAAAATATATTAAATTGTACAGAAATCAAATTTTGATTGATCTTAGTAGAGACAGAACTAAACCCTTCTCCAAACCTCTGTGTTTTCAAATGAAGGCATTGTCCTTTCTTTCCAGAAAGCAAGAAAAGAGGCAAGCTTAAAGTAAAGCTATTTCCTTCATTACAGAAAAAGTGAGTTCAAGAAGTAAAAGGTGAAAGTGTGATATTTTTCTATATGCCAGGTATAAGCTAGCCTGGAAAAGATTTTTCACAGTACTAGATCTCTTCAACTTAATGTAACGTAATAATAATAATTTGTAACATTCTTATTTTGGAAGCTTATGAAGCAATTGAACAACCATTATCTTAATGACAAGAATTGAAATCAGAAATTTTATTAATTCTGCTGAAAATTTTTAGTCTATTTTTGTTCCCTGTAAGATCTTTACCAAAGTGTTCAATTTGAGATAAATGTACATGTTTTACTAATGGGCACCAGTGCTGTTCTTTACAAGTATAAATTCAAACAGATATTTTGGGGATTTTTTTTAAAAAATATTTTTTTAAGAGAAAAAATTTCATCAAGATTAGTAAGAAATTAGGAAAAAGAAACACAGGAGAATATATTGACTTTGGTACTTGTATATGTTTTATACTATTGTTTGGTAATTTGAATGCCTTCTCCCTTCATTTCCTCATAAATGCATTTGAAATAGGAAAGCCTGATACATCATCCCAGTGTACAGTGAAGAATAATGCTAACTGAAATCCTAGCATTTTGGTCTAAAAAGAAAGATGAGGGCATGATCATCATAATATCTTTTTTGAGGCACTGTCCTCACATACATTTAACTAGAATAATTTTTGTTAGTAGGTCTTTTCGTGATCACTTGCAGAGATAGCACTAGAAAAGAACTGGCAAGTTGTCTGCCAAATGCTGTTTCTCTCAAGCCATATTTTTGAAGTTAAAATACAAAACACCAGCAAAAGTAATGATTATAGAAAGTATGACAATTAAAAAGAGGGTTTTTTTTAATTTCTCTGAAAATATCAACTTTTTTTTGCAAGCTAACATTAAAAATTACATATTTACAAGATTAGTTATAAAGCTTACTCAGATGCACATTGAAATTTTGCTTTTCTCAAAACAAGAGAAATAGGGAGACATTTATAGCAAATTGAGAAATTGTAATAATTGCTAGCTAGCTAGCTAGTAGTTTTAGTTAGGATGTAATATTCAGTCCTGTCTTCTGCTTGATTACAAGGAGAAAAAAAAAAACACACACAAAAATGTACAAGAATTTATGTAAAAGAATGAAGTGTCATAATTTGTAAAATCTTTGTACATCTAAATTACTCTGTTATCTTCAAATGCTTAAAAGAGTATTGTGATAGGTACAATACAAAATGTATAGAAAACAAACTTCAATGTAATAAAACCAATTAATTTAAAAATTATCACCCTTGTGCTTCTTTCTGTCTTTTTTCTTTCTTCATTAAGGTGTCTTATGTTTTGTAAACATAATGTGAAATTAGCATATAATGTGAAAAAAGAACATAGCTTTAGATTTTTTTATACACTCTAAAGTGTCTTTGTATGTCAAATATAAAATAATATGCATGTAAACCCTTTTAAATAAGTGTTTATCAATTGAAAAGGAAAACAAAATCAGAAACTCAGAAAAGAGAATAAAATTAATCCATAACATTCTCAAAAATTCATTTTGTATGTCTCTACTCATCAACCACTGGTGCTACTGGAATTAGGAGTCAAGTTCACTGAGAAAACAACATAGAATATTTTGAAAGAGTACCGAAAGCTTTTTTTTATCTTACAAGTTAAGGAATTTGAAAGATAGCTGTGAATAAAGGAGGATGCATAAAAATTAATAAGAAAAATAGTCTGAATTAAGAGTGCTATGCCAGTGTGAGGACTACTAGGGAAAAAGTCAACATATATTAAACTTCTGGGTTCCTGAAAAACATACTGTAGGGAATGTAATTTCTCTACTAGAAGTGAATTCTTCTTGTGCTATATTCAGTTTTGCTTTGTCCTTTGCAAAAGCCTCCAATACAACATGTATGCTCAATATTTAGATATCTAGCATGGCATTTACATGAGAAAATAACATAAACTTACCTTCAATATTATTTTTGTCAGATTTTCAGAGATATATGATCTCTTCTAGGTAGGTATTTTATCTTTTTGCATACTAAGTACATGCTACATTGCATTGCATAATTTTATACAGAATTCTAGTGCGCTTTTTACTAAGAAGGTCAGTTTTGAAAAATTACTCAGCAACATTAATATATTTTTAACATATTCATTTTCCAAGTTCAGTATCAGAGAAATGATGCAATGGTAGAATTTATATTTTACCTAAAATCTGAGCCTATCCGTTTTCCATTTTCTGGTTCTCCAGGATCTGGACACAAATTGGACGCCTGTTTAATACCTCCCTCATTTACTGGAAAAAAAAACAAAACAAAAAAACAACAAAATAAAATAAACAAAAGAAGGAGATAAAATAACAATGCTTTTAGAAAATACAAAGGTAAGCAATTAACAAATATGAGAATATATTCTTTTCATTTTAGGTCTTTTAAAACAGATTGTCTAGAGAATATGATCACCCATATAAGCTCTAGTTTCAATAAATAAGTTTGTCCTCACTATAATTATCAAAGTAAGTATTTTCTGATTTTTTTTCAAAAAAAGTAACACAAGTTTTTATCAGATGTATTAATCAGCTGTTTTGTTTGTTTGCAATATTATTGAATCCATATGGAAATGTTATTATTTCTTTATTAAACAGTAAGATTTAAAGGAATCTTCATCAGGTTTAGGGCTGTAAGATTTTATTTTGAACATACACTATAAATGTCATCTCCACTAAGAGCTGACCTTTTCTCCTTGAATTGTAATAAAACTTGAATGCATAAGCTCCTGCTGAGAGAATTGTCCTTAATCAGTATTGAAAATGTATATATACCCAAAATTTGGTGATTTGAAGGTAAACTCAAAATGCCAGTTTGATTTGCATACATTTATCTTACAATAAACTAAAATGGATCTTCAGAGAGAAATTTCCTGTGAAGCATTCTCTGCATTTTTCCAGAAATTTGTAAGAAGCTAACCATATCTCAGCATATTCAACCACCTATTCACAAAACCAGAAAATTAGCAAAGGATGTCATTCATCTATTGCTTGATAAATTCATGGCAGACAGAAAAGTATTTAAAAAAAAAAAAAAAGTTGTCATGGAGCCAAGTAATTTGTATTAAGCAGAAAAATATTTTAGCCTTTCTTCATCTTTATTACTGATGAACAATACCAATGGATTTGCAGTATTAGAATTTTACTTCCCTTTAAGGAAAAAGTTTGCATGTCAATGCAATCACACTACGGGATTAAAACAAAGAAACAAACAAAAAAAAAGAGTAGATTCTAAATATTCCTTTAAAGGGTGTTTATTAAGTTTCAGCTTTTAATGAAGAGGAATAAAATTCAGAATACTTGGGGGTTACACAGAAAGGGAAGAATTGGTTTGGTACCCCTGAGAAAGCCAAAAGCCAAATGCAAATGTTGTACAGGCTTAAATAGAAAACATCTCAACACAGCACATTGCTCAAAAAACCTATCAACCTCAGTGCTTGTAGCTGGAACCACAGTATTTACTCTACTTTCTCCCAAGACACCTGTAACATGTCAAATATTGCTCTAAAAACACACCAAGGCAATCTCTGATCATCTGGATTTCTATGTTCAGGGGACTTTTGTGTCAGGAATCTTCCTCCTGGTTTCAAATTTCAGTCTTTTCCTCCTCCAATAGATGTACATGAGATAAAAACATACTAGCTACAGAAGCCTATGTTCATGCTAGTGTTGAAATATATATATTACTCTGACAACTAAAATTCCATAGACTGAATTTTAAAAAGCTATCTTGTAGTATAACCATTTAGAATTAACTCTCTCTTTGAAATAACTGGGTGCTTCAATATGAGACATGAGAAACTCAGAATCAACAAAAGTACCCTGCATATATATATATAGAAGACTTTCAAACTTTTCTGACATTACATATATATTAAAACTTTAGTTAAAAATTATTCATGATTTCTGATAATAATATTACATAAATTATAATGGTATCATTTGGTCATGCAATGTATATCAATGCACAAAGAAGAAAATAAAAATAAAAACTGTAAAACATAAAAATAGTGTTTAAACCATATTATTTCTATTTATTATAGTTCATGTTTTAATGTTTCAAATAATTATTTTATTTTTGTACATTATTTTCCCATACACAGGTAATAGAGCAAATATTCATATAAAAAGAATATTCTACTGGATTGCAAGACACAAGAAGTATTATACACTTCCATTTCTACCAGAAATGGAAGCTTGAAAATCCTATTGGTTTTCAATACCTTCTGTAGAAAGTTTTATTCCTAGAAATACTCTACAGAATATAATTTTAAATTATAATATATGGAGTTATCAATACCCATAAACAAAAATATAAAGGTTTATGTTAAAGAAAAATTAATGAAATAATTACATTTTTTTAAAACTAAGATATATACTGCAGTAAAAATACAGAGGAAATTGCTATAGGTAGATATTGATTTCTGATTTAATCCCAATTCCAAAATACATTTACACAATCTTAAACCCATTCTGGTTGCTCTTAAATACCTAGTGAAAATTAATTTCACAGTTTAGGATATTTGTAGTGATGTTAGTTTCACAGACATAATACCTGACTTTTCAGTCTACAGCCCTATGTAATTCCACAGATTCCTGTCCATATATTTTTGTTTTACACCCCACATGCTTATGCACAATAAGCAATTAAAGGGTTTCCTGTAGTAAATTAAATGCATCTAGGGGAAGCATTCGTGGTCTGGTCATGAAACTAGTATCAAGAAACTCTGCAGTTCTGATCCAGATTTAATTAGATCCTCCAATTAATTCATTCATTACTGTCAACACTTCTAAACTGAAACTGATGGATACTTGTTTCACAATGTATCATCATATCAAATATCATCTGGCTTTACTCCATGCAAATTACCTGTGCATTAGTATTGAATGTTATACAATTGACACAAAAACAAAAAAAAAAAAACAGATGTAAAATAATGAAAGGACATACAGATGAGAATGCTAGACAAAAATTTTACAGACATTGCTAATAAAAGATATAATGCAAAATAGATATTCACTTATTTTCACTAACAGTTGAATGCCGATCATTGTTTTTCTTAAAGGACCCTATCTGTCATTGTAGAGCAATGACACTAGACCCAGATGAGGCCACACTGAGAAAATTATCTTGTCAACAGTTAAATACATAAACTTATTATGAAATACTATCTCTTCAACATTCTCAGCTACCGAAGTGACTAGAGAACCAAATTCTAGATTACAACACAAAAACTTAATTATCTATTTATGACAAGATTATGATCACTAAAGATACAAATCACTAAGGTTTTTCACCTTCAATTATTATTGACTCATATAAGTAATCTATTCTGCATAATCAATAACAGAAAAGGTAGTTTCCAGCTTTACACAGAATATCATAACGTATGAAATTATCTGAAGACTTTCAAAAATATGTTGATAAATTTCATCATTAATTTCATAACAATCAGCTTTGGATATCATGTTTCTGATACATCATTATAAATATGGAATTCATATTAAACTTTATGTAGTAGAAAATGTAATGATTACTGCAAAATAAACAATCTCTTTTATCATCCATTGCATCATTATTATTGTATTGTTATTTGTAACTACAGAATCACAGATGGGCCATCAGAGAGAGACCTTAGTGATGTACTTTATAAACACTACCGTAATTATCTTACTATTACTTCTGCATAATCAGTCTGTTTCCCATTCACCAATAAGTATAAAAAGAATATTTAAATATCTTGATATAAAGTTTTCAAGTAAATCAGAAATGTCTTACAGAACTATTTAGGTGATGCAGTTTACTGAGAAGTTGTATATGACAATACATGACATTACAAAAATTGAACAGAAGTATCTTTTGCTTTATTTTCTGACTTGGTGAATGCTAAAGGGTTGTGAGTCTTGGAGACATCTTTGTCTAAAAAAAAAAGAAAAATCATATCTAATACTTTGACAGTTTAAAATCTAAAACCAAAGACTAAAATGTATGCTAACTTGTCCTGCAAAGTTCTGGAAACTGAATCCATTACCAATACTTTAAACAAATAATTAGTGCAAACATGTCCAACCTAGGAAGCTTCAAATAAAAGTCCTGTGAAGAAAGATGAAATGCAGTATAATCCAACATATGCTAAATATTTAGTCCATTTTATTTACTTCTAAATATTTAAAATGTGGTTCTATTCCAAAATGGCCTCTATAAAAATGGCATACTCTATTTCAAAAGTATTCTTCTAATATATTTAGAGACACACCTATTTAATTTGTGCTAGAAAGTTGTCTGACTCCTCACGATTTAATCAGGACTTGGTCCACTGAGATGTCAAGCACTTTCAGTTTCTAATTTCTGTAACTAAAACTGAAGGCACCAAGAATCTCCACTATTTTTAAAGCTATACCTATTTAATCAATTAAAATGTCAAACTTTATGAACTAAAAAAATATTCAAACAGTGACCTCATATATGGTTGTGCACTTGTAAATGAGGCTATACTTCAGTTTATATATAATTTGATTCTACTATTAGTGTAGTAGAAATTAAGAAAATTGATCTCCTACTCACAGCTAAATTAACAGCTGACACCTAAGAGGCTGAATTGTTTCCTTCCAAATACTGTAAATTTATTGCGATATTACTGACAAAATAACGTCCTTCTACAATGCCAGATTTATAGAAAGGCTGTCTTTAGAGTAGAACCATACTTAAAAATTCACCATGCAGACTGCAGAAACCAGTTCTATTTTCAGAATACATAAATGATTACACACAAACAACACACCACAAACTTCACTCTTGCACTAGAAAAAAGTAACAAAAAAGGAGTACACTCACAGATAGAAAACTTGTTGCTGTTGTCTTTCCCTGGAAACAATTTAAATCCTCTAGATTTAAAATCTATGGCCTTTTTCACTAGTTAAAAAAACAAAAACAAAAACATGTATCAGGCAATACAATCTAAAATATTTCATTAGACAAATTTTATCATGGAAGTATATTCAAAATAGAGTACTGGCTGCCTCAAAGGTTCAGATTTTGTACCTTTGGTCTGAAACAATTTGCAAAAATAAATATTGAGACCAATTTGTATACCTGACAAAGGAAAGAAATGGTATTTGCAACTTAATTTTCCCCCTGCATAACTAATAAAAAAAATGATGGCAAAAAGTGTTTATTTCCATGAACCACATAATTGTGTAAAATATTGTCACACATTTATGGAACTTGGAAAATCAAAAGAATTCTAAATATGTTTGCTCTAAAGTAGCTGTTTCTTCTGTGTCAAGAAAAAAAAAAGAAGAAAAAGGAAAAAGGGTATTTGAATGTAGAAGATAAAATACAGACTGCTGTTCTGCTGTTGGTTCTGCAGCTGGTCTTCTTTCTAGCTTGAAAACTGATATTTGCAAAATGTGATATGGAAGGTAGCTGTCGCCACCTGTCCCCTAAAAGCCCACAACTCATCTGTTACTCTAAAAGTCCTTCGTGTGGGCTGGCTTTATGATTTAGACAGTTAATCCAGGAAAACCTTGTGGCCTTAACATTCTTTGAAGGAAAACATCTAATAAAAGAGAATAAACCCAAAACTTAACAGATATAAAAAATGTAATCAAGAATATGCAAATACACTACAAGAAACTTTCCTTTTCAGTCATTAAATTAAATTTAATATACTTGGCCTGTGAGCAGTGAATTATACATTAAAATGGACCTGCTTAAAACATTTCAAATTTTAAGTATAAGTTGACTTTAGGTACAATATACTTAAGTGGCTTTGTAGCCACTACATCCACTATATATTTTTAGAAACTATATAGAAGATGTTTTATCTTGGCTACAAGAGTATACTGCTGATGAAGACAGCATAGATTAAAGGAGCTACATCTAGGAGAACTTAACATAAGTAGATAGATTGTACCTCATCAAATAATTTTTCATACTCATTACTTCTTTCAGAAAATCAATGGATATTCAAAGAACCTTTACATTAGGTATAAAATCCACAGTAGCAAAATATTATTGATACCTTTTTATAAATAAAAGTATTACCGAGCACAAGAGCAGAACCAGATTCAGAAGAGCATACTAAGAAAGACAATTTATTGGATAGACAGATGATCTGTCAATAAATATTTTTATACTTCTGATTGAAGAAACCTTATTTTCTTATAAATACAGAAATACTATTATCTCAAAAGGCAAAATGTAAATTTACTTGTGTTTTATTATAATGTAGCATATAAACATTGATAATGGTTCTGGGAAATATGTTATTTGCAGAAGTGAAACATATATGTTACCACAAAATACTAGATTTTGGTGTGTTTTTTACTCTAAATTGGAGAAGGCCCTCCCCATCTCCAAAGTATTTGAAGTCCATATGCAGTTCTATCCTCAGTGGCAATCATAGACCCAAGAACTCTAACTTCATACAGCACAGCAATACTGGAATAACAGTAATGCTCCCCTGTCATTGTCTGAGATTTCTAAAACGTTATTTATACGTAAATAGGAATGTTGGACTATAGCTTTAACCCTCTTTTGGCTTTCTTTGATGATCAGTCTAAAATAACTCCTCATGAACCAGAAAATTCCAGCATCTAAGCAAGATGGGAGTGGTCTTGAATATATGATCTCAGGTGCTGGAATGAGTTTAAATGTTCTCAATGGAGAACATTTGTCCTTTATTTTCAGAAGTCATCAAAATAACACCCTAAAAGGTTAACTCTTTTTTTGAGGATTTTTTCCCATTTGTTTCTACTCATTCTGAAACATGTAAAAGGCATATCCCTAGTTTATGTACACAAGACCTAAGGTGGAACTGGAAATAGTTAAGAGTGTCTTGGTAACCACAGTGAAATCAAAGATTTTTATAATCATTTGCTTCACTTTTCCAAGACTATTAAATACCCCTAGGAAGGCAAGAAATCCTTGTTCTCTTAAGCACCTTTACAAGAGAAGAATTTTACTCTTAACTGGAGTTTGTATGTTGATTTACTGAACAGTAGTTTCTGAATACACTGTGAAGATGTAGTTACAGGAATTCGTATGGCAAACATGCCAACACTAAACCTTGTGCTGGGCTGCAAATGCATGAACATACATAAAAATAATCCCACCATCACCAATCAAAAAGAAATCTCCTACCCAATAAATAGATGATCTTATACTTGGTAAAATTAGGATTATTTTGCATGTCAAACACATGACAGTAAGTACTGAAAGTGGATTTCACTTTTCAGACGTCTCAGAGGATTCATGACAGCAAATTGTGTAGTAAAACACATCTAAACCCATCCACAAAGAAAAACAGACACTTTAAGACATTAATTAATCTGGTCTTAAGATACCTTTTTTTTTCATGAGATGAGTTTATATGTCCATTTCTTTTAAGAAAAAGTGTTCAGATGTAACAATAGTACAAATATTTAAGTATAGTCAGATTAGTATGTTGTCATATATTTGAACAGCCAAGAGAGAAGAAAATAATTAGTCCAACAAAGTAGGACACTCCTGTGGAGATGTACAAATTTAAAAGGAGAGTAGTAATAAGACAAAAGTATATTCTAACAATAATCTAAATTTATAAAACCCTCTATGACATAACCATCTTTCCAGTGTTATAATGAAAGGAGAGGCTTATTTTTTATTTTTTTAATACTACTTTAAATACATACAGCTTCCAGGTTGGTTGGTTGGTTGATTTTCAATTTATAGATAAAGACAGCGGGTTTGTTTATTTGTATTGTTTATTTTTGGAGGAGAAGGAACACTGGTGCGCATCTTCTATATGAATAAATCTCTGACAAACCTTAATCTTTCTGATCACATGACTGGATGAAGCATAAAGAGTAGCATCTGAAACCAAATCAAATATTCTGTCAAAACCCTGGAAATAATTTATGCATCCACCTTGGGATTTCTGCTCAACACTACTCATGCTTTTTTCCTAGTTCAAGTCACTTTAATACAAATACTGAATTATTATCATAGCATTATAGAATAATTTGGGTTGGAAGGGACCTAAGGATCATCTAGTGCCAAGTACCTGTTCAAGTACCTCACCACCCTCATGGTAAAGAACTTAATTTCTAATCTAAACCTACCCTCCTTGACTTTAAAGCCACCCCCCCTTGTCTTATCACTACATGCCCATATAAAAAGTCCCTCTAAGCTCACTTGTAGGTCCTCTTTAGGTAATTGAATGTGCTCCAAAGTCTCAACAAAGCCTTCACTTCTTCAGACTGGAAAGCTGCACCTTTCTCTCCCTCTCACTCTTTCTCTGTAACTTTTTTGGTGGTTAGAAGCCCCAATATTTTCTCTAATGAAGGAAAAACGGAACTGAATGCTTTATTACGGTGGGAAGGATATGAACAACCCCAGTAATAATGGAAGTCCAGGTAAGAACTCTTGTATTACAGATGTGTGCACTAATATTCAGTCAATAGACACACCAGAGAGGTGCACTTTTCAAATAGCCAATTTAAAGTGAAATGTGTTCAGAATTATTTTCTTGAAGTTTTTGACCAAAATGGTCTCTCATGTAAGATGATGAAGATTCTAACACTTACAGGCAAAATCTTAGGCACACATAAAGACTAAAATATTGTCCATTTTTTCTCTTTAATAAAAAGACTGTGTAATTATGCATATTTATGCAAATTTCATATTTGCATGTATGCAATATATGCAGCCATGCTTCATACAAACATTTGTAAGAGAGGACTAATTCCAACAATTCCAGCATTTTATACTTCAGGATAGGCACTGCATTAAAAAAGGGCCTCAACTAAAGAAGTTTTAAGCATAGATATCATAAAAAATACAGCAAAGCTCTCACACACTAGAAACAAAACTCATTTTGAATGAAGATTGTTTAGCTGACACAGTTCTGGTTTCAGTGAAAAAAATGTCCCCTGAGGGCCAAATGGGAAAAAAAAAATCAAGAAGGAAAATTTGCTTCTACAGTACAGAAGCATCAGGATATACAGCCATGTGAAGGATATTTATTTAAAACACTGTCAATCCACAAATTCACGTCTTTGTCTGGGTTATGCAACAGCATTTATGTAACAGAAGAATCTAGCTTGTTTTTTTTTTATATTTTGTACATTTTCAAATCAAATATAAACAATATTTAAAATGCTGAGGACTAAAACACCACTGTTTTATGCAAAGCCAGTACTCAGGTTGCATTACTTGAAGTAACTGTACAGAACAATGGAAACAGTCCTTTCCTTCTCCAGAACCGCACCTACTCTAATACTCACTATCACTCAGCTAATGGACATGGAGAGCAATATGATAACATCAAAGACATTATATCAAGATATATATTGTATTGATGTATATTGTATACACAGCCCTACTTAAACTACCTATGCAAAAGTATAATACTATGGGAAAACAAGTTATCCGAGAAATAAAGAGGAATTAAATTTTCAACTGCTTTCTGAAGTAGCAGAAAAAACGTGTTTTGAATACAGTATATAACTAATTTTGACTTGTGCAGAGCTAGTAATTCCTTCATTATTTAAAATCTTCAATATGTGATGATGGCAGATTTTACTCACAACAACTCACAACAATTTCTAGTGATTGAAACAAGAGTATTGTATACTTTGGACTTCCAGCATTGACTGCACATGTGCAGATATGCCAAATAAATGATGCATGATACTTCCACTTCAAGTTTGGCATATGTCTAATTCATCGTAATTCTTCTAAAAGTGCATACACTGCCTAAATGCACTGAACTTACTATTCACTACTCACATAAAGATCAGTTACCTTTCTTGTTTTTTCATTTACATTACATTCACTAAGCATGTGATACAACTAATTATCCAGAATTTCCAAATTCTAGCAATGCAAGTGTTTAATATCCAGGTGTCTTAGAGATCACCACTAAAAAA